ATGATGAATGAATGTTGTGTTCTATTTTTACTTATGTATTGTCTCATGTCTTGTCTTGTATTCCCCTCCCCACAAACTGTAAGCCGCCCTGAGTCAACAAACAAAACAAACAAACAAACAAACAAACAACCCCCCGCTCTAGCCGGGCACAGTGCCACTCACCAACCTAGCAGTATCCCAAAGGCGTCAAGCAATGTGAGCACCTTTGGCCCCCTCCCCTCAGCTCCTGCGGCTTTGCGCCTTCGGGATATCACTAGGTTGGTGAGTGGCGCTCTGCCTGGCTGGGGGGGGTGTACAGGGGGCTTATTATTGGGGGAGGGCGCATAGTTTTGCCCACAGGAAAAATATGGCATAGTCTTATTATCAGGACATGTTGTAATTTTGGGGAAACACGGTACTAGAAGTCTAGATAGAACATGAAACAAATGCCTATGAATCTAATTTTCACCCAGCTGTTTTTCTTTAGAAAATTACAGAACACCATAAGAAGGAATCCTGTTCCTCCTGGTTTTTGTGTGGCTGGTGGCATAGGAAATCCCAATTAGCAAGAAAGCTTGTTTGGACTGGAATACATGTTCATATTCTTTCCCCTTGTGAGTCAATTCTATCTAAAATAATCCCAGGGTTGTTCTTACCTCTGCGTAGATACCACTGCGAAATTCCAATTCTCCGCTGAGCAAATGTACTTTCCCCTCCAGTTCTGACTTGCTCAAAGAAATGGAGTCTACATCCTGAAGATGATAGAACAGTTAATTAAACATTTTTTCAATTTGGAATTATTGCCTATGTCCAGGCAGCCCTATCATTAGGCAGAGCAGGATGATAGATCCTTGGGGTGTAAGGAGAAAAGTAGAGCCTGGCACATCCACTTAAAGATGCAGCTGCATATCCCAAAGGATTCAACCTGTCTTGACTTAACTGAATGCCCTCAATTTACAATGCTGGAGAGGCTGCTGACTCAAGAGTAAAAGGTAAACCAGTTTTAAAGCTGGTGAATTCTTGGATTGCTCAAAATAGAGCAGAAATTATGAAAACAGGCAGAAAGGAAATCTGATGAAATAGAAAAGGAAAGTAAGACAGATATTCCACACTACCTTCCCCTTTCAAGGATGGCACACAATTTGGGGGANAAGGAATTTTATATTTATAGGATTTTGATGGAGACCAAGATTATACCACACATCACAATGCCCTCACACACAAACAATGCAAATTACATAATTCAGGTCAGTCTGTGATATTATGGTGCAAATGTATGGGTGATATCATTCATCTTCCCATAGATGCCCAAGCTTGCTTTTATCCTTGTTTCAACTATTGTACTCAAAGTAGGCCTGTTTTCTGACATAGATGATATAAATATTCCTGTCATGTATGAAGATATAGGGTCAGTACGCAAACCAGCAGATGTGATAAACCACCAGATGTGATAATGATATTATTGAAGGCAGTTGAGATTAAAAAAGGGGGCATGCATAAGCGCACCAGCGTGCCTATCATCCTTGTCCTACTGCCTCCATTTATTTGTACCCATTTACTGTGTTCATATTTTTGTTTATACTTATACCTGTTATCTTTTACATGTTTGAAAACTAAATAAAATAAAATAAAATTTCCACAAATTGCCAATGTTTTCCTAAGTGCTGAACATAAACAGCATATTCGACCCTGGTCGAAGTGTTCACAAAAAGTATTGACAAGTTTGGACTCCATAATGAGGTTTCCAGAAATGACTTTAATAGGTATATTGAAACAAACAGATGAGGAATAACACATCAGGGTTGCCCCTACCTGTTTTTTAATAATATCATGTTCAGACTGCAATTTATGAACCAGACGAGTCAGATCTGCAATCTCTTGCTGGTTGATCTTCAGAGTTTGAGAATATTTGCCTCTTTGTTGCTGAAGCTCCTGGAACTGATATCCAAGACAATAATTTTTAAAAAACCAAACATGTTAATAATATTGCTACTACATGGAATTTGCCATTTACATCTCAATAAATTCCTATTGGATCGTGAGGACAAAGCCATAATAAGCAAAAATTCTCAGTGGTGGTTTTAGGCAATCCCAATTTCAGCCTGTTTTGACCTAAGGGACATGCTAAAGAGAACAGGGGCAAGAGAAAATTTAGGTGGACAAAAGTGGTGGGACAGAGAAAAAGGAACATGCATTAATAGTTCATGAATTAAGTATTGCTCCTCTGGAACATGCCAAGATGTTTTGGAGAACGACAGGAAAAGTACGTGAAAAATGGAATGAATTCCATAAGACCCATATAGTTTTCCAAACAGATGCCCATGGCCCCATAACTTACTCGGTTTTCATAAAAAGCATTAACTTCTTCTTTGCTCCCATGGGCAACATTTTGATACCATGCTTCCACGTTTTTGATGATGCAGTCAATGTCCAAGTTTCGGCTGTTGTCCATTTGCAAGAGGATGTTGGTGTCATAAACATTGTTACTGAGCTGTGCTAATTCCTGAAAAATCATAGAAAATCTGTGGCTCTCGCACCTCTATAGTTACATTAACATAAAAGCAAACCATGACATATGACTTGACTGCAACAGGAGCTTCCTCAAAGCTACTATTTTAAATGAAATACATGAAAGTATCCTGTTTGCTGACTTAGTGAAGTATATTCTTCATCTTTTAATAAGAACGTTGCAACTACAACTGATTATTTTCCTGATGAAACCTCTGCTGCTCTATATACTGCATATTCCTCCTGTCTTTTAAAATCCTTCCCACTGGGCTTGTACTAAGCCAGATTAAGACCAACTGATGCCCTAAGCAGTGCCCAATGATGGTGCCCCTTGGCCTTTCCATTGCTTTACTGTCAAAGCATTAAAAGAATTGTGGTGGCAGACTGGTTAGAATGCAGTATTGCACTCCTGACTCTGCCCACAGTCAGGAGTTCGATCCTGACCAGCTCAAAGTTGACAGCTTTCTATCCTCCCAAGCTTGGTTAAATGAGGACCCAGATTGTTGGGGGCAATATGTTGATATTTGTAAATGACTCAGAGAAGGCTGTAAAGCATTGTGAAGTGGTATATAAACTGCTATTGCTATTAAGTCTCAAAAAGCACTGAAGGTGAATGTTCTTTCATGCCATCCCTCAAGTTGAACCTCACAACTATATTAAAGATAAACCTTGTTGATTTTTTATATTTAAAAATATTTTAACCCAAAATAGCAACAATTTGTCATATAAACAAATTACTTAGTTATGACTAGGGCAATAGAAAAAAATGTAGATTTTCAACACTTTTACTGTATGTTTTAATAACATTGTTGAAAGGAAAATAATAGATATGGGAAAAATCTCTGTTGTGTCACTCTTCCCTTGGTGGCCAAAGCACATTATTGTTTTACTTAATAGTAAAAAGGTTGGCTTGCATCTTGGAGTGACAATTTTGTGTTACCCTGGTGACTATTTTGTCTTCCCATATTGCTCAGGGCTAGGGTTGTTTTGAGGCTGATGGAAAGGAAAATGATGGCTACCATTGTATCCAGAAAAAATAAGAATACTGAGAGAGACATTTGCTCCTATAGAAACTGACTGTTTGAGGGAAATACAGTATATTCTAAGATACTTCAATCCAACTCTAGGAGCATTGATTGGTTGCTCCCATAGGAAAACTAATTTATTTATCTAATTTCTAAAGCTAAGTGATTCTGGGTGGCTTACAATTCTAAAACAATCAAGACAATTGAAAAGACATTAAAAGCAAGGAAAACATGATAAATACTGTATTTTTCAGAGTATAAGAAGCACCCCTCCCTAAAAGAGGCTGAAAATTTGGGTGCATCTTATACTCCGAATGTAGCTTTTTCAAAGCTTTTTTCAACTAATGAATTAATGAGTGAAACCATCTTCCATGCTTTGCCTGCTTTTCTCATTGCTGCTCCTTCCAACAGTGCTTTAGAAGCTGTTTTTTTATCCCAATCAGTAGTAGCTCCGACCCTTTGGAACGACCTCCCCGTGGAGATTCGCACCCTCACCACCGTCCAGACCTTCCGCACAG